TTGAATAATAAAATTGCTCGATGCATTTCCCTAAAAAAAAAAAAATTCAACGTAGTTGCTTCATGTTGCTGATCAATCAATGTACGAAAGCGGCAACTTTCACTTTGGCAGTCCCATGAATCACTTAATAAGGAACTAATGAGTTATTTAAACAACGCGTCATGCAAGTAACCCGGATATTAGGCTTAATATTTTATTTGATACGTCTAGTGTCAATTAGGTTATGTTTGGTTTAATAACATCATTATCCATATTCTAGGTTACTCTCTTATCTTTATCCACTAAATTATACAAGTAGACTCCCTCCAAAAAAAAGTAATACTGAGTATAAAAATAAAAGGGAAATTCTCAATGGTGCTCATCAACTTTTTATTTTTCTTAATGGTAAACACTAGAATTTTCAATTATCTTTGGTAATCATAAATTCTTAATATATATTAACAATAGCATTAATGATATATTTTAGGATATAATCTTTAACTAGGGTTAGTTTTATATTAATAGTTAAATAATTTTTTTTTTTTTAAAAAAAACACCACCCATCCCCCACCAACCCAGCAGGCAGCCACCCCTCACGCCATCCCTCGACCCACCACCCAATACTTCACCGGCGCACCAAAACCCCTTTTCCTCAGCACCATCGCCGTGTTAAACCCCCTCCCCAATCGTATTTCCCTTCTAGAAACCCCCCTCCCTCTCCACGAATTCCCCTAAAACCACCATACCATCCCTTAAAAACCTTAACCGGACCTTCCCAGCCATGGCTAGGGTTCCGATTGGGGTTTTTTCGAGGGTTGGAGATGGTTTTTGGAGTATTTCGCGGGGATAGAAGGCCGCGCTGATGGGCTTCAAGGTCCGGACCGACCGGCGTTGGGGTCTAGCGCGACAGACGCCGAGTGAGCCGCATCGGGGCTGGCCGTTTGGGCGTAGGTGGAGGCGGCGGGTTGGGGCGGTTGGGGTTATGAATTGGGGGAAGGGTTTCAATGGGGTTTCGGTGAGAGAAAGAGGGGGTTTGGGGGATGGGGCATTGGTTTAGGGGAGGGACGACTGCTGGGAAGGCCGGCGCGCCGGCGAGGGTGGAGTCAAGGTCTGGGTGTCGGCAGATGTGGCATCAATGGTGGCAAGGGTGGCACCATGGCAGGGAGGAAGGTTGGCAATTGGTGGTGGCTGACTTTTGTTTTTTTTTTTCTAAACTTTTATTTAATTGTAAAAAATTAAAATAAACCTAACCATAGTTAACTTTTAATACAAAACTATCATTAAAGTTATAAATAACTTTATGTAATAATTTCATGATTATCAAGGATAATTTGTTTTTTTGCTGTTTACCATTGAGAAAAAGAAAAACCTTAAGAGCACCATTGAGAATTTCCCAAAATAAAATAAAATAATACACTACTAGAATTTTCAAAAATAATTTTGTTATTAGAAGTTTATTCCATTCACCTAATCTTTTATCTGATATAATTTTAGTAACAAGAATAGGATAATCTTTATTAACTCATTTATGAATTGAACTTAATTGATTCATGGTTTTTGAAATTATTTTATCTAAAATTAATTATATTCTATATACTTCTTTTGTTTCTATTGACTTACACTCCTATGTCATATTATTTGACTTATACTATATTAAGCAAGTTTTTGGTAAACAAATTCTTTGAAATACTATCATAAATTGTATGTGGAGACAAAATTTAAAGGTAATAAGATGAACCATGTGTACCAAATATAATTTATCTCTCTTCTCCATAAGTATTTTAATTTGCCAAAAGTCATGGGGCAAGTAAATAGAAACAGAGGAAGATTACTCAACCTCGTACAACAATGACTTTTTAGTTCATTCCATTAGAGGAATCCACCCCAATGTTTACTCTAAATGACAATAATAAGGGTCTGTTCTCATACGTTGAAATTCAGTTCAGTTCAGTTCAGCTCCTAATTTTTTTCTCTTATAAAATATTCATTTCATTTCAGTTCAGTTCAGTCAATGAGAACAGGCCCTAAGTAAGTAGTGTTCACTATATATTTAGACCTCATGAGATTAAAAAGTACCTATAATCTTATTGGTTTTCTAGACTTTATTTTATCAGTACAATTATTATATCGAGATTAAAAGTAACAAAAAATAGTTGTTACCGTATATTATTATTAATAAAGACAAATTATAGATTAAGACAAGTAGACAACCTTCATGCAATCACTACTTTAACTTCAAAATCTTATGATATATGGTCCAACTATGTTATTTGATCTTTCTCCATAATAAACCCCAGTTAATCCTTGACAGATAAAGCCTAATCCTTCTAGTTTACTTTACTTTGAAGCAATGTTAAAGTAACAAGTTTCGCAAAAAACGAGTAAAATGATGAATTAGCTCCGACAAATTTTGATTCAAAATGATAATCTTTATTAAAATATCGAACGTTTCGGCGATACTCACAGTAGAAAGCAAGAAATCAAAGACAAAAATAAAATTTAGAGTAAGATATACGATTATTAATGAAATAAAAGATTGGCATAAAAATAATTGGTTGTCCTATGAAATTATGAGCATGGGATTGTTGTAAAAACTTGGGTTCCCAACATATTCACATGCCGACCATGTACTTTCAGTTTACCAAAGTAGTGCAACTTGGTTTATGGGTGTTTTGCTAGCTTCTCAAGATGCTTTATTAGGTTGATTTTTTTTTTTTTTTTTTGAATAATTAATTTAGGGCTTGTTTGGCATCATTTTTGGTTTTCAGTTTTCTGTTTTTTTGAAAACCAAAAACCAAAAACAGGAAACAAGAAAAAGGTGTTTCTATTTTTCTGTTGTCAGTTTTCAAAATAATCATGTTTTTAATTAATTTAAATAATTTTTGATTCATTTTGGGACATATATCATATACTTTTAAAAAACAAAAAACCAAAAAATAGAAAACCGCAGCAATGCCAAACGAACCCTTAGTTACTCCATAGTTTTATTTTTATTCAATTTATGTTAGTCCGTTTGTAAATTAAAGTTGTCTTGTAACATTGTTTGTAGAGAAAGGTATTGTGGTATTGGATTGCCCATTGACTGTTTACATCCACATAAGTGTGGGTCGATAATTTTTCTTCTTGCACAAGTCGTTAAAGTTGGATTCAGATGGAGAATATACATGTTAAAATTAAGAAACTGTAAACTATACAGGTTGTTATAACTTTTTTCATATATGAAACCTAGCTTATATATCTTGAACAATAAGATAAAAATGATCTGTTTTAAATGAATCCGAGATAGGATAGAAGTGTGAAGAATTGAACCTACCACTAGTTTATGATAGCTATGGAACGGAAGAAAGTCACACAATCATATGTACGAACTAATGTAAAAAGGCAAAATGAGAGCTTTAATCACAAACACATAAAACTCCAACCACACCTTATTACAAGTATGTACCTTTCATTCTATAGGCATAAAACTTGGGGCTACATACATAAACACTCATCTACTATACAACGAATAACTTGAGTAAGACCTCCAAAATCATCAAAGCAAAAGGGCCCATATTGACATTAATAATGGAGATGGTATGTGTTTCCAACCATGAGATAGATGGATATATGAAACGACTAAGATTGATGTAACATTATGCAATATTATCCATTGCATCTTGCATGTCATCAAATATCAAGGCATAGGACCATTTGGACGATTCAAATGAGGTCAATTTCATGGTGGCTTCAAACTTGGAACACACTTTGTTTTGTTTTTTTTTTTTGTTTTTTTAATTTTCGGAGGGGGTTACTAATAGCACGGTCCACAAGGTATGGTATACTTGATTTTTCATAAAAATGGTTTTATGTTATAGGCTCGTTAGCCATATGGTCGTGTTCGACATTAGTTTTTAGTGGTTTAATTGGGTCAAATTATTATGTAATAGAAACTTTTTGTTGTTTGCTAATGTAGTGGCAGGACTGCAGAAGTAATGTTTAGTGGTTGGTGTAGATTTTGTGAAAAAATAATATCGTTAACGGTTTAGAAGATTGAAGATAGAATTTTATAGACGATAACTAGTCAACATCAATTTTATCAAACACTCATATTAAATTATTTATTTTCGAACATTCTGTTCACATCTACTCATAATAGCTACACGTATGTATTTATGTATCAATTAAATGACAATATAGAGATGATATTGTAGATTTGTAGCTACCAATTATGTGTTGGAAGCTTGTTTCTAATGGAACCCATCAAGTGGCCTAAGCCCAAACGGCATTCAACCAACTTTTTGTCGAAACATTGGGCTAAGTTGGGACATTAAATCCTTCATTTTATGAAGCTTGTTATCATGAAGGGCCGATTATCCCACATGATTTAAACGGGTCTTGAATATTTCCCTGATTTCAAAAACGGATAGTCTCATTATCCTTCTTCAATGATTGATTATAGGTCAAAGTATGATTGTATGAACTCCATTCGTCCTAAATACTTGTTACATGAATATTTACACAAAATTTATGCATGTGAAAAACATAAATGGTGCAAGTAATTTTGGACACCTCAAATAGTAGAAAAGTGGTGTAAGTATATTAGGACATCCCAAATTAAGTAAATTGAGATAGATATAATTACACAAATTATAATCTTGTTACCAAAATCTTCACCTTCAAATTATGTCAAACAATCGTGGGCTTGGCCGCTAAATTATTATTTCCATACCAAAGCCAACACTTTTTCTCTAATACAAATATTTTAAATACATTCTAAGTTGTAGGATAACATTCAATCAAATTTGCAATTCTTTTTGATATACTCTGGGGTGAGGTATTTTTTTGCTCATTTAATATTTTTTTTAAAAAATAAGTTTAATAAACACAAAGGTAGGTATTGTACTATTGTAGGATAACACTCCTCTTATATTAATGGTAATTTATGCTCAAAGTTTTTTACTAGAGCAAAAAATAAGGATATACGAAGCATTATACAAATATTTAAAACTTTCCTTAAAAAAATACATGTATTTAAAACACCTTTATATTTAGACGGTGAAAATAAGGAAGTCATCTTCACAGTTCTAGGGTTCCAAATCCAATTTCCCCAAATTCAATTCCCTCCTTCTTTCGATCTCTCTCCAATCAAATTCTGCAATTCTAAGCAGTAATTAGGGGTTATTCCGAAATCGAAGCTAAAAGATGCCTCAAAGACACTCGAAGAACAACAATGATCTCGCGTTTTTCACCTACGATGAGAAGCGAAAGCTAGGGTATGGTACCCAGAAAGAGAGATTAGGGAAAGACTCCATTAAACCTTTCGACGCTTGTTGTCTCTGCTTGAAGCTTGTTATTGAGCCTTTGTGTTGCCCTAAAGGTCATGTATTTTGTAAAGAGTGTATCCTCGAATGCTTGCTTTCCCAGAAGAAGGACATTCAAAGGTAATTTCTCAATTTCCTTTTTATTGTAGTTTTTATTGATTGTTAATTTTGATTTTTCTGTGCTAAATTGTTGTTTTGTATAGTATGATGATGTAATTTTTAAGTTTGATTTAGTTTAGTAGTGTATTGTTGATTTGGGGATCTGGATTGAGTGTTGTAAAAGGTGGAATTCATTGTGTTATACAGTAGAATGATTAGCTTGATGGAATTAGGGCTTACCTGGAAGGCGGATAGTGGCGTTTGTGGCTGAGGGTAGTATTGCTGTCCTTGTCCTCCATTGGTGATTATAGTATTTGTAACTCGGCGTAAATTTGGATTGTAATTTTGTTGGATAATTCTCCATGTGTTTTTTCAAGGTATTAACTTTTCATTATCTCTAGTGATACATAGTCAAATATATCAATGATCATACAAGCTGATTGATAATCTGAAAGTTAATTAGGGAATGAAGGAATTATGAGGCAATGAGGTGTGTTATGGAAATTCTCGTTTTCTTCTTTGCTATTGCCGTATTCCCATAGAGATGAAGTCAACTATTTGAAACATTATGTTTATGGATGTGACGTAGTTTTACATTGGTTGTCACAGATAACTATATGTGGACGAATTTTCCTGCAATCAAACAAAAGATAAAATGATGTGAGGTCATACATTGTAGAAATTAGTAAATGATCTATGCACCAATTAAAGATACCTAGGAGGTTAGGCCTCACTGATTGGGTCTGTCTTGGGCATTTAGACAATATTTTGCTGTTTATGGAACATCTGTATAAGGCAAATTAGGGGCTTTCCGCATCAGTCTTCTTTAACTGTATTTTATGTTAGGTGACTAAATTTTGACACGGAAATGTTGTCTTGAGAGTATAGAACCAATGTACAAAAAAGCTCAAGGTGCACCAAGGCGTTTCCGAGTTCCCTTTGCCTAAGGCGTGCCTTGTTGAAGTGAGGCGCATATAATTAATAATAACAATGAAAAATCTGTTGTGCGTTTTAGTGCACCTTAGTGCGCCAAAATCGTTTTGCCTAGACCACTAAAATCGCATGACCTTTCAGGCCTCGCGCCTTAGATGTGCTATTAAGTTTGGATCTGAAATTAGAAAATATTCCATGGAAAATGAGATGCAATTTTTGGAGCTTTTTAAGAGATATTAGGGCTTTGTTAAGAGTTTTGTCTTTAAAGAAATTGGAGGTTTAATTTAAAAGACACAAACCATATCATTTTAAGGCAAGAGCCTTGTCCACTATGTCTAGATAAAAGGAATTGATGAAAGAGGAGAGTTGAGTAACGACACATAGAGAAGTCTTTTCTTGTGAAAGAGCCACCTACCCTTAATGTAATCTGGCACTTGTAAGTCCAAACCTTTTGTCTCACTTATATGTATCATTGCTTGTACCATTCACTCCCATTAGTACATATCATAAATAAATGATGATTTGGACCAACGAGAATTAGTGGCACAAGTGATAGTATATATAGGTAGTACTAATTATGTAGACTCATTTTTAAGTGGGTTGGTGGTGCCATATGCTCCTTTGCCAAAATAAAAAGTAAATAAAAGAAAGATGGCTTAATTGCTAATTGGTTGGCACTCCAATACATATACTCTACTAGCTTTTTAACTCTTCCTCGGTGGTCATCTATCATGGAAGCTTTTGGCACCTATCTGAAGACCATTCCTTCATCTAGATTTTAGATCCAGATTGAGGATGGTTTGTGATTGCCACATTGGTCTGCTCGCTAGTATCATTGCAGATTGATTCTGTTATAAGTGATAAAAAAAAATTATAGCAATTGAACCTGAACCACATATTGTCGTCTCTACTTTCACTTGTCAAGATGTGTGGTCCATATTCATTTGCTATTACAATTATTGTACAAGGGAGTTATCGGACATGTAATATAGAGGATTATAATGCTTGTCTATGTGTTTGACCTTGATACAACCATCATGAATGGTACCAGTGTTTGAAAAAGTGCGCTGAGGCACAAGGCAAAATGGGGTAAGCGCTGAACTTGGTCTAGGCAAGGCGCTTTTGGTTAGGCGCACGAGGCTCACCAAAAGCGCAGTAGGTGCACGGTGCACCTGAAGCAAATTTCTGCCAATTATTTTTAACTGCTTGTACAGTGCGCCTCACTTCAAAGAGGCGCGCCTTAGGCGCACCTAGGCCCTGCATAACCCTTCTCGCCTCAGTGCGCCTTAAGCTTTTTTATACATTGAATGGTACCATTGGATTTTTTTTGATATATTGGCAGAATGGCATGTTTAGGAGAAAGTTATTAGCGTTACCCAATATAAAGAAAAGAAATTAGTCTGATTATGAAAAAAGGTGAAAGAGAAGATCAAAGGAAAAGGGTAAAAGTTTAAGGTGAAAGAAATTAGTTAGAAAGGTTACTCGGATTAAGAAAAAAGGTGAAAGAGAATATCAAAGGAAAAGGGTAAAAGTTTAAGGATTACTTTTCAATTTAGTGAATTTACGCTAAAGGGAGAGGATTTATCTATATAGTAATATATATTAATATATTATTGAAAGTAAACTATGTGAACAATTTAAGTGGTATATTTTGGAATGATTTATGCCCCTGAGTTGGGGTAACTTTACATTTAAGATAGCATAGTGGTGGGTAGACTGATGACTGAGATGCGCCAAATGCATTCTAAGTCGGTTTGGTTTGATGCGAGTCTTGATAATTCCAATCTTTATTGCTCTCTACAGTCAAATGTCCAAAAAAAAATGTTTGAAATTTTGTGTATCTGTTGGCATTTGTTTGGCTCATCACTGGGTAGTTAATTGGTCATCGCAATGTTGGTTGGCCCTTAAAAAAACAAAAGATTATGCATTATGACTACATTATTTATTAAAGATAGATATTGAACTATTGAAGATTGTGGTTAGTACATTCAGTTGAAATAGGCAACTGAAAGTGTTTGGAGCGTACAGCGCAGCTTCTATAGTTCTATTAGTGTCTGTTATTTTTTATTTCGCTATTGGATTAACAGATGCTTCTCTTACCTTGAATCAGGGCACGAGCCTCCTTTTTCTCTTGTAAAGTGGGTAGAAAAAGGATGTGATTATATCCTGAATGTTAGGGTTTTTTCAAGGTAGCTGTATTTGTGTGAAAGATGAGGATTTAATTATCTGTACTTATTTAGTCAAACATGTCATTGATTTTAAAAGCTTGAGCTCCATTTTGACTTGTCCATTTGCTTTTACAGCATCCCCCTTGGACCCAGCAAGATCTTTTAAGCACATCATTTGTTTCTATATTCCATCAGCCATAATAATGCGGACATGAATTTTGTTTCCTGCACATCTTATTTTCCCATGACAAGCTCTAATTATGTATCTCCTTGACATCAGTCACTTGATTATATATATCTCTTGCAGATAGAATATAAACTTTATCTTGCTTTTATGTTCAATTGCTAGGAGATGTGGTAGGTGGTCCTTTTATGCTCTAAAAGGTTTAGCCCTTTTTCTATGGATAATGAATTTCAGTCTGTAGTATTACTGACCTTATTTTTTGACATTCTGAAGGAACTTATAGTTTCATAAGAAAGTTTCTTGAAAACATCTGTCTTTTTTCTTTCTCTATCAACTACATTATTAGATATGTTAAAATCATCAATTGTGATTGCAGAAAGCTAGCTGCACATGCTGCACAGAAAAAGCAAGAGGTTGGAGAGCAAGAGGAGAAATTGATGCTTCAAAAGGCCCGAGAACTTGAGGCATTTGATCAGCAAAATCACGGGGCAGTGCCCCATCACAGTGATAAAAATTATTCTCGTGATAAGAATGGTTTTCATGGTGCAAATAGTGTAAAGGCTACTTCTTTTGAAGAGGAAGCCTTGAGAACAATGAAAGCTTTCTGGCTTCCTTCTGCTACTCCAGAAGCAGCGGCCAAAGTAGAGGCTCCTTCCACTAGCACAACTTGTCCAGAGGGAAACGAGAAGCTAAAGCTGAAATCCCTTTTCCCCATATATTTCACAGAAGAAAAGGGTGAGGACTACAAATCCACGGCTTATGACAAAAAACATATTTGTCCAAGCTGCAAGGTTACAATGACAAATGCAATGTCACTTGTGGCTCTTAGCTCTTGCGGTCATGTATTCTGCAAGAAATGCGCAGATAAGTTTATGGTCGTTGATAAGGTTTGTCTAGTTTGCAATAAGCCATGTAAAGAGAAGAATCTAGTAAATTTGAAGAAGGGAGGTACAGGATTTTCTGGTCATGATGAGAATTTGGAAGCAAAAGATTTCAAGCATTTGGGAAGCGGTTCAGGTTTAGGGCTAGTAAGGCCTGCCCAGAAGGTTTAAGTTCAGATTTTACATGTATGTAGTTGCAGAAAACAATGCCTTTCAACTGCAGTTTCTGAATGGCCGTATAGCAAATTTTCTTTTTCTGAGCTTTTGTAACTGTATTAAGATCTTATTGTTTTTCTTGTAATCTTTTAATGTTATGTGGCGAGTCATATACGGAGTATCTGTTGTTTTCAAATACTTAAAAGGCAAGGATTTGTAGATCCCACCCGTAGGATGACAGGAAGCTTTGTGTAATTGTGTTTTTATTGTACTATGTACGAAGTTATGAAACTCTCACTAAGTCGGGGTTGATTACTTACAACTCACCAACATTGGCTATAACTCGTATAGTCGTTAATTCGTTATACCAGGGGTGAAGCATTATAGAGACCCAACTCCCCCATGGCCCCAAGTTTTCCACAACCTAGCATAAAAACTCAAGTGTCCAACGTTAGAGAAAAGGAATCAAGTCTAGCTTTGCCCCTGCGGCCTCGTCCCCCTGTATTGCACAATGAAACTTAGGCAACAAACGAACAAATCCAACCTTCAACATCAACACCAACACAAAGACAATGCTGAATAGATTAGCTTTTGAGTCATAGTCAAATTTGGGAAGCAGGATGCCTATAATGATCAGATTGATCACTACCTTCTTCAAATTCTAATTTCTTCCTAATTATTTTATCACCTTAAATATTAATAACATCAAGTGCTAATTTCTGTTTCATTTTCTTTTCTTTTCCCCAACTATTATAAGCTGTGCTAGCTTAAAACTAAGGGCCTGTTCATATTTACTTATTTTCAGTTCAGTTCAGCTCCAATCAGTTCAGCTCCAATCAGTTCAGTTCAGTTCAGCTCTTAATTTCCCTCTCTCATAAAATATTCATTTCAGCTTAGTTCAGCTCCAATCAGTTCAGTTTAGTTCAGTTCAGTAAATATGAACAGGCCCTAAGTCAAAATATGTGTTATGTGCAAAGTTGTATTTCCCTTACGTAGTATGTAATTTATATAAACTAAGTCAAAGTATAAGAACATTTTTGTATTTATAAATCAAGTACTCCGAACAAAATACGAAGTATAATAAGAAAAAAAAGTTAATTTTATTTATACTCCGTACTAAACAAAAAGTCTAAACGAATAATGTAGTTTGAGACGAATGAATTGTGGTAACTTTTTGCCAATTTGTGGCAACTTTTGGTATTTTTGGGTAATTTTAAACTAAACACGTTTTATGGTAATGACAATGAAATAAGTTTTATAATGGGAATATAAATTACTTTCAGTCAATGAGATTTGATTTTTACTCTTTAAAGAGAGTAATTTTATTTTTTTATCAATAAAACATAGGTATTTATTTTTAATAATATATACGTAGTAGATTATTTTTGATTTTTTGATGTTATATAGGGTAACTTTTTTGTATTTGGGATGACTTTTATTTTATTTCGTGCAACTTTTAATTATTTTATGGCAACTATATCCTATCTTATAAAAAATTTCTAACAAATTGTCAATAACTCAAAAGTAATTTAGAAGAAGATTGTTTGATAATTATGCTCGTTTTTTTATTCAAAGGGTATATTTATACAATTAAATTTCTAATTCTGAGTGTTTATCAAAGTGAATCACTCACTAATACGAAGTAAGTAACAACATTATACACCCAAGCTTGAGGCTCTTCACCATACAAATGGTTGTACGCCTTATACCTCCTGGTTATACAATAAGACAATTTTTTACTCATATGAACGTAAGGTCTACACCAAATATAAATACAAAGATAAATTTAACTTAATTTAAGATTTCTAAATTAGGAAAATTGAAATAGGATGACAACTTTCAATCAATTTACACTCGTGAATCATAAACTTAATTAAAGTTATCTCTATAAATAAAAAAGACCTCTAGCGACAATTTGGTAAAAAAACTTACTCCAGCGACAGTTTGGTAAAAATAACTAACAATATGCGACAATTCGGTAAAAATAATAAAGTCCGACGACATTTAGACCAAAAAATCTATTTTTTCCGACAAACTCTTTAAAAATCCTATTTTAATTTGTTTTTATGTTCTTAAATTTATTTTTTCCATTTAAAAATTTTGAATTTACATGTCATCCCCTTTTATTTCCAACCCCTTTTTAAAAAAAATTCATTAATAAGAGGTATGAAACTTAAGTGAAAATTGATACTTAACGTTTTTTTTTCTTCAAATTGTTTTTTCCGTAAAAAAGGGTTGGTAAAATAACAAGAAAAACGAACTATATTAAGCATTCGCGAGTAATTTATCGGAAATTTTTATATTTTTTGGGTTAATTGTCGCCTGAGATTATTTTATTTACCAAATTGTCGCTTAAGGTTAGTTTTTTTTACCAAATCGTTACCGGAGTAAGTTTTTTTACCAAATTGTCGCTAATGGTCTTTTTTATTTACCAATCTGGTCAATTGGCCCTATAAATTATAAAAGGAAGGCAAAATAAATTCTTATATAGATTCTTTTACATGAATGGGACTTCATAAAAAAAAGACGGTGGAATGGAGTATAATTGACCTCAAGAGAATCTCCTTTGGACACTAAATGTATCTTTAAATAGCATTAAAACCACAAATCCATATTATTGTATGATTATTACTCCGTATTGTATAATAATTATGTTAGGTAACCAAGTTGTCATCTAGGTTATGCTTATCGCCTTATCATCAAATTCCCACCCAAAAAAGTAGACCAAGTAATATGATGCGTATCATCACATCTTGCCAAAGCCAAAGCAAGCAAAGCAGCAGCCACCAAACTATTTGACCCCACATAAAATCCCCCCATTATTAGACTCAAACTAACCACCCTGAAATTATTTCCTAACCGAAAAAATTAAAGGAAAAAAAAAAAAAGCCCCCAAATAAATTGTTTAATGACAGCTCAAAAACAACTAGCAATTGTTGCAATTTGGTTATCCACTTCAATTATCCACAAAATTCATTGAATTAATTTATTTACTGTATTATTCATCACCTTTTTTCTGGGTGCCTCAAAAGGTTTCAACTTGCGTTGAATTTGTTCAAAGTTGCAAGATTTTTTGTCTGCAAGCTATAAATTGGGGTGATTTTGGTTGCTAAACTATTTGGGTTTTTGTTGGGCATAAACCTTTTTTTCTGGGTATCTGAAAAAGTTTTCAACTTTGCATTTACATTTTGTATCAAAGGGGTGCAAATTTGTGTGTAATTGAAGAAAGTTCTGGTGAAATTGGTTGTTGAAACAGTTGGGTTTTTATTGGGCGTAATCATCTTTAAGTTTGCATTCGAATTTGCAAATTTGTGTTATTTTTTGAAGAAATCTCTGGTGATTTAGTTGCTGATATTGTAATATATTTTTGGGCACAACTAAATATTTTCTGGGTGCCTGGAAAAGTTGTAATTTTGCATTTGAATTTTGAATTCAAGGGGTGCAAAATTTTCGTTCGTTTGAAGAAATATCTGGTAATTTTGGTTGCTGAAATAGTTGAATATTTGTTGGGCATAATCTAATTGTTTCTGGGTACCTTTAAACGCATGAAACTTGCATTTAAACTTTGTCCAAAGGTGCAAAATTGTTTTTTTGCTGAAATAGTCGAGTGCTTTTTCTGAGTTCATCAATGGCGGATTTGGGGAAGGAAGAGAAGGTGGGAGGTGGGTGTGAGAAGGAGGAAGAAGAGAGTTTAATTGAAGGTGTTGCAGTGTTGGATTTTGATATGTTGTGTTCAACGGTTGCTATGCAAAGCCAAGGAAAATGGAGGTTATTTGAAAATGAAGAAGAAGGTGAAGATGTTGGAGGAGGTGGTGGGGTTTTGAGGATGTGGGAAGGTGAAGTTCTTGATTGTTTCGATGATCATCGAATTGCCATTGAAACTCTCTGGTAATTAATTGATTTCTGCTGTTTGATTAGTTGAATGGTTCAGTTTCATATGTACAGATTTTAAGAAATAAAAATTATATGTATATATAAATTAGCTTAGTAAAATTTGGACCAATTATGGGTTTAATAGGGTTTATCAGTTTATGTTTGTTAAATCCTTATGTTTTAATTAGTTGATAATTTCTGTTTTTTGTTTGTGTAGTTGTCCATGCTACAGATTTGGGAAGAACATGAGGCGTGCTGGTCTAGGCCCTTGTTTCCTTCAGGTGATGGTTTTCATAATCATGTGAAGTTTGCTTCGTATTCTAAGCTTTTGATTACTGTAAACTTAAGTCTGATTATGATGGTCATGCTTTAGAATGAAGTATGCCTTTCTGGATTGTTGAAGTATGCCTTTTGGGATTGTTGAATGCTCCGAAAACAGACCTAGTGTAGGATGACAAACATGGCATCTTTGTAGTGAGACTAGAAATAGGTTTTTCTGGTTTGTTTGTATATGAAGTGACACCTGTGTTATTTGCAAAGGAATGCTAGTTAAGAGATTCTGTTCATTTCTTGCTTTGAATCAATGATGTTGTTTTGGCAAAACATTAAAAGCTATGCCACATTTGTAGGGAATTCTTCAATTAGATTAGGTTCTGCTGCTGTGCTTTTTTGCAAGTAGTTATATTTATCTCATCTGTTTGCAAGGTTATAATTAAAGGGTTCTGTGGAATATGTTCTCTTTTTCACTAGAGCAGGGTGCGTATATCATGTCCTGTTTCCTAGGGAGTACCTTTTAGCTGAATTGTCATCAAATGGGATTTATTTTTGTCTAGGATTAAGGTTTTTAAAGCATTGAAGAGTTTCAAATGAGACTGAAATATTGAATGAAAGCCTATTTATGACTGTGATGCCTGATGTAGTTAAGGCTATTAATGATCAAAGTATTTATGAACTAAAAAAAAAAGAATTCCTTGATTTGGAGTGATCTCTAACTTCCTAGTAGGTCTTACCTTATTTCCTAGAATGTGGAACTGTTTGTCACAGTTAGTTCTAGTTAATTTTGATCCTGAATAAGGACTGACGACTCATTATAGACTTCCATAGAGGAAGGTCATAAATGTCATCCACAATTGTCCCTTACTAGGGTTGCGTTTTAGGAGACAGACTAAGCTATCGATAACTAAAATGAGTTGCCAAGAAGAAATTCTTAAGACCTGGAGAAAAAACAACTTTGTTTACGTCTAATTTTGAACTGGTGGTCTTTAAACCCAATGCTTATCAAGAGTAGATAAAATCCCTGATCTTTTGAAATATGAGCTTAGTGTTCTGTTAATGGCAACTATGAATAGGCTTTCTCTATTGTGCTTCTATTTAATGCATTATTTTCTGATTGCTGTTAAGAAAACAAAGTATTTTGACCGGACACTAAACATTCTGCATAATTGGAATTTGGTTGTCTAGAATGTCTACCTCTTTCATAACAACCATTTTATTAGTTAACTATTAGGATCGAATCCAGATGAGGTGTGCCTTTTCCCTTTGATGCTTTTTGCTGGTCTCTAGGTAGATGCTGAGTGTGTTTATAGAACATAGCAATTTGCTAAGAACTTGGATGAATAAGGCGTTACTCTATATACACTTCATTGTTTATAGAAATCTTTAATCCAAATTTGAGGTTGTTTCAACCTAATCATAGTGTGATCAGGGGATTATGTTGTAATGTTGTATGATAGATTCTGAGTTTAAAAGTGGGTACCATGCCTTTGTAAAGAATGCTTTTATCTTCCAATAAGGCAATAAATCTTATAAACTGCGCTGCTCCTATTTTCTTGCATTGTAAGTTTGTTCTGAAGTAGGAAACTGTTGTGGTACTGCAGGGAGCTCTCTGTTTTATTCTAGCCATGTCAGTAGTTCTCAGCTGTGTTGCCTTCATAGTAACCAGGAGACGCTGTTTTCTTTATTTGACTATCGCATTTACCATGTCCGTGGGAACATACTTGGGCTTCTTCCGCACGCAGATAAGAAAGAAGTTTAATATTAGGGTGAGTATCTCTTTATTTGTTTTCTTTGCAATAATGGTTTTTACCTTGGCCTTACCATGCTTCCCTTAGGGATGGTTCTTTCCATTAATCCCTTGAATGTCTTTTATCATGTTATTTAATTGGTGAAGCTTGTTCCACTGTCCCAATTTTTCCCAACTGATTATTGAAATTTTTTTGATTTTTGTTTTTTTTTGCCTTGTAACTTGTAAGTTTCTTTATTCATTGTTCTTGTTGTCAGTTTCTGTTTATGGTCTTGATGCATAAGTGGGATTTTTTAACTCCAATTATTTTTCATTAGCTTCTATTGTGTGCTATGTTCGCTTGAAACATATGCTTGGATCCTGTCTCTCTGTCAGTTTGCCATTGCTGTAGTAAAATGATTCGCAAGCTAAATCGACTATAGATCCCTTTTACCTTTGTCTAATCTTCCCAGCTCATGGGAGGCATAGAGATTTATCTTATTCAGTGTGTCTCTGAGTTTCTGACCACCCGACGTCAATCACAAATTGTTTGACACGAAACAATAGTGGGAACTTGAGTGCTTACTAAGTTATAACCTTCAGCTAAAACCTAGTTGTAGCAAGTAAATATCCAGGTGAGAGGTTTTCGGAACATTATTACATTCAGAAACAAATCTTTTGCCTGCCTCACATAGCCTCTAACATCCATAACATATTTGGATTCTATTTACAATTAGGGGGGATTGCTTCTCTGAATCGACGTCTTGTCCTTCTGTGGTTTTGTCATAAATGTGATGCAGCTACAAATCTTCTCATAGCTAAATTTGATTTCTGATTTTGGTTTTGGGTGTGTATATTAAACTTACATCATTAATGAATGTATCGACTATCGAATATTCCTTATCAATTCTTGCTCTTAATTTTATATCTGTGCCTGTATTTCATTTGTCAGCATAGCTATACTGATTCTTCAAAATTGCTTCCAACTGTAGGGTAGCGACAATTCAGTGGATGATTGTGTTTACCATCTGATTTGCCCTTGCTGCACCTTATGTCAGGTATGCCTCTGCATATTTTGGTTGCCAAACTCTATGTTTACTACTTTACTCTAGAATAGAGAAGTAAAAGAAAATGCAATTGATTCAAAATAGTTTTGTACTTTTGTTGAAAGCCTTAGTGCTATCATTACTCATTTCTTTGGACCCCAACTCGTATTTTGAATTTGGCTCAACTAGTCTATTCACTCTATTCATCTTACTGACTTGAAATTTTTAATATCGTGTAAGAAGCAATATGTCGAAACTTGGAAGAAACTCTTTTGGACCCCTGAAAAATGAATTAAATCTGGATCCCCATTCCCAATTTGGTTTGACAGTCTATTTATTAATTTTAATGCAGGAATCTAGAACGTTGGAGATGAATAATGTTCAAGGAGGCACTTGGCATGGACGGGGCGACACAATATGTATAGGAACTGTTGGTGAAGGTAGAAAAGCATTTGTTGAGCTACATCCCCCGCCAATAGTTTCAGCAGAGTTTCACGAAACCAATGCATCACCAAAGGGTGAAGAAGATTTGCACAATCAATGTTGAGCTGAAAATTCTGGCACAAACCATTTGTAATGTATGCCTTACAAGAAGGCTTGATTTGTGGATTCTCATCTGCTATTTGGAGAAAAATCCCTTAAAGTCAACTTGGGATTTGAGAGATGTGTTTTGGATTGCAGCGTGCACAAGAACAAGACCGTGGCGAAGCTACCTTGTCCTTGTCCGATGAGAGAATGTATCTGCAGATTTAAGAAACGTAAACGTGATCCAGAAGTCTTGGATCAGGTAGAAAAGGATGGCTTAGGGTTGTTTGTTCCTAGCCTCAATTGAAATATGCTGCTTCATCAGGTTAGCATTTAACCAAAAATAAATAAACTCTCAGGTTGTGTGATTTGGTTGCATTTGTTAAGTTAGCCGCTGTATTGAGAATTACCGCAGTAACCGGAGATGGGAGTGTATTATGTGCTTTATGGGTGGTTACTTTATTGTGCAGCCCCATAGTCCACGAGGCGTTGTAAACTTACTTGACCATGCGTCATATTATTTGTATGGTTGCGAACTTTATACGTACTGTTCTCGTTGCACCCGAAGGTCCAGAACATTACTACTTGTTGCGTTATTTTGTGGTCATCCACAGCTTATTTTCATGAAATATCAATCGGTGATTCCCCTATGAAAAAGTTGTTTGGATTAATGAATACGAGTATTCCAAATATAGAGCATTATTAGGGGAGCAATGAATTATTTACATTTATAATACTCCCTCCGTTTCAATATGATAGTCCCATATGGAATCAATCACATAAATTAAAAAAAAAAGGAGAATATTTGAAATCTAGTATTAAAGTAAAAAACAATTCACAAATAGTTTTGCTTTATTTAATTTTTTTTATTTTTTTTAGGAAAGCATTAGCCATAATTGCATAAATAAGGGAGTAATTTCTTTACTTAGAGTCATTTCATTAACTCACAATCAATTAATCTAAGCAATCAGAATTTATTATGTATAAAATAGGAAATAAAAACTAAGTTAAAAGTAGAATATATTCAATATGGGTAGATCTTTTTGAAACGCCCAAAATAGTATATGGGACTAATAAATTAAAACGGAGGGAGTATTAAAGTTTAAGACCTTTCAATTTTCAACGAATTATTCTTTCATAGTTTCAATTTAACAGTCTATATATATTACGAGGTTTTCTTTTGTTTAGGAGTTCAACATCATAATAAGCAATTCGGTATTATGTCTCTTTCCTAGTACTTGTCAATTCATATTAGGATTCCGATTCGTTGTGTTATGACGTACAATTTATATTCGGATTGATGTTTAATGTGCTACGAGTCTATGACGTACGAGTCGTGCCTCGTATGGATTGTTTTTAGTACGAGTATGTTGTTGTTAATTGGTTCATCTCACAAAGTCACAAGTTCCACTTGAGCATGATGTCTCCTGATTTTTATCATGGAATTTCATTTACAATTACTGATCTTTTATGTATGCAGAATATGTGAAACTGTTTACTATCCACACACTCTCTATTACTTGTATATAAATTATCATGTACAGAGTACCTAGTGAACTCTTGCTTTGTTTTGCAAGACTTAGAAAATGGATAACATTTATGTGACTTAATGTTATCCATCCTAGACATGATTCTAAGATTAACTTTCCTACTTCCTCCGTTCTTTATTACTTGACCCGCTTTGACTTTTACACTATTCACCACCCCTCCTTTGACCGTCTTTTGTGAATAATATGTAAGGAAAAATATATTCATATATGATCTTTTTGGATTCGTCTCTATAAGTACTATCATAATATATAACTTTTATAATTTTTACTTATGGAGAATTTAAGTTATTGATCGTTAAAGTTTTGCATTGGCAAGCGTGATAAAAGAAACAGGTCAAGTAAAAAAAAAAAAACAGAGGAAGTATGTCTTACAAAGACTTGCTTTTAGTTTGGTTTCATTTGGTGCGGAATACGAGGAGTTAACTGTTGCTGCAACCACGTGTGATCATGAATTTTGAGGGTCCTCCTTTTAATTTGTTAGGCCTCCCATGTACTAATCCATATTGTTTAGGCAAATCGTAGTAAGGGCATCTAGGAACTAGGAACTAGGAATTTGCTTAGGGATTTAGGGGTGATAACAATCAAACCACAAATATCAAATGCAATAACCAAGAGCAATTATAAAGCAGTAAGTAAATAATTATATCAAAAGAGATTGAGTTTAGAGATACAATATTGAGAAAGGATAGACTTCCTTATTCAGCAAAGACACAGTTCCGAGAGAATAAGTAGAATAATCAGTTTATATTGATGTATGAGTGTGTATATCTGAGTATTATAATGTCTAGCTATGCTACTTATACCTAGGAATAATAGGGTTATAAAGGTGTCAAATCTCTACCCTTTTAAAAGCCCGAACTTGTGTTATGCACAGTGTGTTTCCGATTTTAGCCTTCTTTCCTTCTTAAAAAATTTCTTTTGGTTTTCTTCTTTCACAAGGAAAAAGTGCAGTAGGTAGTTTCTTTGGGTGGGGTTTTCACTGACTTGTCTTGGATTTTATTGGTGTGGGGTGTGGGTCCCATCTAATAAAAGTGCTCCTTTCTCCTTTTTGGGATTTCCGTGTTGTTTATTATGTTATTTTTTTTTTTGGGGGGTTCCCTTTCTATGAATATTATTTGTTACTAATCATTAGGTATTATCTGTTAGTTTGCCACGTGTTGTTTATTATATATTTTTTTTTGGGGTTTCCCTTTCTATTAATATATTAAGTTACTAATCATTTGTATTATGTGTTAGTTTGCCACGTGTTTATTGCCTAGCCTTTGATTTGTTGGTTCCTTATTTTTTCCCTTCCTTTTTGGGTGTTTCGTGTTTTTTTTTGTTAATTGATGATTAGTAGTTTTGTTAGGAATTGACTTGGGAAGAAGGGTGATTATAATTAGTCTTCGAAAGTATGGTTGCTTATGGTTAGTCGTTAGCTAATTCGTAACTAGCTTATGATTGACCATTTATGTTGAAAGGCAGTGTGTTAAACCACTTTGTTGTGTGGCTTAGTGTAGAGGATACAGTCAATGAAAATTGTTGTTTGCAAGGATGTGGTCTTCCATGTTTTAAGGCCTATTATAGTGTACCATTGTCTTTGTTTCTTTGACTGTCAATGGTTTTTGAGAATGTCTAGACATTTAGTCTTAAGTTGTACTTTTTGGGTGATGCAAAAAATATTAGAAAAATTCATTGTGTGTGTTCCTCTATTAGATATATATATATAGAAGTGTTTTCCTTTTTGTGGTCTGCCTGTCACTTGCACTTTTGCTCACAAATTTGATTTTTCTTCTCTTGGTGGTACTAGAAACTCATTTCAGAGTGATTAGTTCTAAAAAAAGAAAGATCAGGTAATTTAAATTGTATTAATTGTTTGGGATAAATGTGTTTGATGCATATGTATCTTGTTCATTACTACATTATTATTATGATGTATGCAACGATTGCCAATAATCTAATGGACCAAGATCTTGACTATCCATGACAAAGGACAATTCCATGTATTGAAGGATTGTAACAAGGACATACCAGATATATCAGTGTAATTGGAATATAGATGAATATGCTGTTTGTGTTGGTTTTTGATGACTCGATTCTGATTTGCTCTGTGAAATAAAGTGTTGGTAATTTATTGTAAATTTGTGATGAAATGTGCTCTTGAGTTGTCATAAGGTATGGTGATTGATTTAGTTGTTTTGATGGGTATATGTTGTGTCTTGATAGGAGGGGTAAGTGTCTTATGTGGTGTTGCTGTGTAAATTATGTCATGTGTTGTTAGGGGGATCTATGTTGTTTGGAATGTAGGTTATTAGTGGTTAGTTGATTGATTTCATGTCATATGTTGTTTGGAGAACCCTATGCATTTCAAGTGTAGGGTGGTTCTGCTTTTTTGGTTATGGTTTCCAACCTATTTTTCTTATTTTGGGTTTTTTAGGGTAGATCTGGTGTTCTTTCTGTTTTTTTGTTTATAAAAAAACAGCTTAGGAGATTATATTCCTTCTATCAGTAATCATGTGATTAGGACATGTGGACTTGCTTTACATGCTATAGTTATGGTTTTTGTTTAAAAGTTATGAATTGTTAGCTATTAGTAAATGTGTTATTGTTATGGACAGTTAATCATTCTTTTGTTTTTTTGAAAAGAAGAGGAGGTTTTTAGATCATGTATAGGAAGTGTCCTGTTTTAGGTATAGGTTATGGCTGTCAATGTATGCAGCTATGTTGCTGCTTTATAGAATGTCAGGTGCCTTTTATTATGTTATATGTTTGGAGTTGCTGATTTCAATTGGTTCTGTAGAACTGTTTCCAGGAATATTGATTAGCCTTCTAGATTGATTTGGTGCTTTAGAAAAGTAGATGGAACTGTTTACATATCTATCTTTGGGTTGCCTATGATGTTTGGTATTTTGGACCTATTTAAGAATTTTATGCCCATGTTTACAGGTCATGGACTTGCCACCCACACAAGTAGTTATGCCATTTCGTCCTCTTCTGAAGCAAATTACCAACTACTTGAACTTTCCTGATCCAGATTACCAGTTTGTTGATGAGCCTGGAAGCATTGCTTGTGTGGTGGTTCGGGCAGACTGCGGACCCATTGCATCTGTTTACATTGGTGGGTATACTAGCAGTGTAGAAGAGTCCTGTGAAGTTGCTGCTAGAAAAGCTGTATATGATCTTATGAAAAAATATGAAATAGTCGTTGAGGATGTGACTTATTTAAGGAAGCAGATGTATGATCGCTGTGGCCAATTGTTTTGGTTTAAAAAGGAGGAGCTAGAACGGATTGAAAAGGAGGAACGTAAGGTGTGTATGAATGAGGACTTTTCTTTTCGAGCTGAAGATAGTCACAAGAAGATTGTGGTGGACTTTGTTGTTATTTTAAGGGCTATCTTCAGAACTGTTGAGATAAGGTGCACCCCAATTGAAACCATTGAGCATTCTCCTGATGAGTACACTTCCTGGTTTACTGTCATGCCTCATAAAGAAGGAATAGGTTTTCGATGTCTGTTTAGTGATTATTGCCGGACTGTAGCTGCTGCTTAGCAGAGCTTAGCTAGAAAGGCTGTGGACTATCTTAGCGATGTCTTTAACCTTGTAATAGTTGATGCTAATTATAAGGTCACTACAGCTAGGTTTGATGCCATCTTATGTTCTTTAGAAAGGGAGAGCTATTTAAGCGTTAAGGAACGTGTATTAGGAATTAAGGAGGAGCTGGAGCCTACTACTGTTCTTATTGAACAAGACTGCCTTACTCCACTTGGACAGGAATTTCAGGTTCCTGTGTCTATTCCACCTGCTCTGCCTCCCAAGAAGCGCCTTTTACAGCACATATATGCTGAAACCTCCCCTGTTGCTGATTCTGGTTGTAAGATGGCTTCGGTGTTTCCAGTGCTGGAAGATCTTGATGAATGTTATAAGCGTGTGAAGTTTGCCAAGAAGAATTAATTCCTGATGCTGTGTGCTGCTGTATCACCTAGCTCCTTTTTGCTTACTAATGTAGCTAGGTTACTACTATAGTACTAGGATTATAATAGGATTATCCTTTA